GCTTTCCCACTTCTAGGTCTATTTCTCATTCTAGATACAATAATAAATAAATGTTTCTTAAAGGTAACACAGTCATTAATGACAGACTGTATATCTCATGTGAGTTATATATGCCAGGTTAAGAAGTAAAGTGAAATGGCGTGAGCTTCCCTCTTAATTGCCAACATAACATAAACAATTTAACAAAGTTTGTGCCAATAGACTGACGATTTGACTTGTTTTCAATATTTTATTACTAGTAACAATTCTTATGCATAGTGGACTCAGACTGATCTAATACCCTAGCCTACCAGAACATCACTCAGTCATCTTTGATCAGTAGCACTGGACTGTTTTTTTGGTATATTTAAAAATAAAAAAAATGCTTCTGTTGCAAAGGCAAATATGGTATATCTGCTAAAAATGGCTGCTTTCTTAAGGCATATAGAGAACATTTGAATACTCAGTTTCTTATCTGCTTTAAATAATAATTTTTACTTCATTTTCAGGGAATTTCTGTAAAAATTAATGCATTTCTGGAATTTTTAAGCATTGTTTCGTTTCCAAAAATAAAGTTTTCATATTTGAATCCAATAAAAAAAAAATGTCAAATCCAAGGAATCTAATTGTTTTCATTAAATATTATTTACCATCACCTCAGATCTGCTAGAAAGCACACATGACGACAGGTGATACATTCACACAGGCAAATTAGTCTTGAAAGTCGTAATTTTATTAGAATATATTTAGTCACATTTTAAATCAGGAGGGAGGGAGGGAAAAATCTTTTATTTTTTCAAAAGTTTCTCATTGACTGTCATCTTCATCAGAATAAAATCAGTTAAAATACCCTGACCTTTTATGGAACTTTTTGATAATTCAGTTACAATACCCTGGCATTCTAGTGAACTTTTTGTTTATTGAAGTAGGCTACAGTTTATTTATTTAATAATTAGTTATGAATTAAAACAAATTACTGTACATGTATTCATATTTAAAAACCCATCATCATTTTCTATTGCTATTAAATTTCTAAAACTCCTCTGAACTGCATCCCACAAAGTAGAGGTCTCATCTGACCAAGTGCTCTTCAGGGCCAAGTTGGTTAAGGTGTGCCAGGATAAAGCTCCTCTATAATAATAATAGATGCAAATCAGGGCCCCTTCATTATATATGTTTACCCCCCCATGTCTATATAAAAAAAGACTAATTTGTACAATATTGAGCAATTTTGCTATTATTACATGTCTGTGTCCAATGAAGGGTAAACTTGAGCAAAATTAAGCAAAGTAGACAAAATTATACAAAACTAAAAAAAAGCTACATCAATAATCTACATGTATATAAAAAATATGCATCAAAATCTAAATGAGCCCTCTTCAAATGGCCCCATCGAATTTAAAAGACCCACTATGAAATGGGCCCAGATACTCAAATTGTTCCAAATTAGTTAAAAGGAAACTCATTAAACCTGAAGATAAACAAATCTCCTCTGTTCTTAGATCTTTGTATGTTTTTACTTTTATCAGTGGCCAAAGACTCAAGGCTCATAATAATCCATATATAAATCTAGCACTGATGTAAATGCAGGGCCGGTGCAAGGATCATGTGCCCCCACCACACCAATCTATGTAGAGACCCCCACCAACTCTACTACATCTCAATTTTCATTTGGTTGTATTCATATAAAATACAAAATTTAATGTAAACTAATTATGTACAATAATTGATCATAAGCAAACAATTATTGAAAATAAATATAATGTAGCTAAACACAAATTAAAGACATGTCATAATATATCATTCCATCTTAAATAAATCAACAATGTTTTGCAGCAATTTTTAACATCAACTTGAGATTTTTCTTGTTAAAAAATTGAATAATTTTAATACATAGTGAATTTTATATAGTGTTTTTTGAAGACAGCATGATTTGGACAAAAAATAAAAAGGATCCCAGAATGATGTTAAAATCTTTGAAAATTTTTTATCCTTTAATAGGGCTTAATTTAACTTATAATGCATTATAAATATAAAAAAGCAAATGTTGATAAGATAGAGAGGGTCACAAAGCACTGCCCGGGGCCTCAAATCAGGTTTGTCCTCCCCCTTAGTTGGAGGGTCAGGGCTAGTACACACTGGCTCTGTGTAAATATATATGTACTAATATAGAAAAGAATGAAAATTTTCAATAATATATGCATATTATTTGGAATGCACCTTTTGAGTCAGACAACCTTGGAAAGGTGGGGATGACATTCTGACTTATAGTGAAAAGAGTGTATTGGGCAAAAAGATTGAGAAGCACTCTTTTAAACTATGTCTATCAAATTTCAGGAAATAAATTACTCAAGAGCTGTTTCATGCATTTAAGATAATTGCTTTATTTCTAAAAAAAAGAGGATGATTTGAGATTTACTCCCTTAAGAAAATATAAAAAATCAAATAAACACGTTATTAGAAAACTTTTTCAAGCAAAACAGAAGAATTATATTTTTTAAAAAGTCTTCCTTGGAAATGTACAAAAAAAAATTATTAACTGTGATAAAAAAAATGAAAAAAAACCTAAAAGGCAAGAATAATATAATGTATAAAATGAAAGAAAATGGTACAGAGTACCAATTAACAATGTCTCCAATCTGTTCAATTATGACTGGCTGGATACACCTGAACACTAACATTGTACTTCTATGGTGTTGACTTTATTTTGTTACTTTGAATTTATCCAATACTCATGATGATATAAAATAACAATTTATTAAACAGGAAAGTCTGCCTTAAAAAAAATTAATCTGGCAATTTATAGAATCATAAATTCAATGGCATATAAATTTATAGATTGATTGAATTTAAATTTTGGAATAAGGTTCATTCAGAATTTCTGTCTGAATTTCTGGGACAAAAAGCTATTATTTACATTATTTATATTTGGATTAATGATCACATACGAAGGTAAAATAGTGGTCATCAGTCCCTGAGGGAAGAAGCAAAAATTACTAGACAGAAAAGAACACCTGAGAACTAAATATCTGAAGGGATCAGCACATATGTTAGACTATGAAGACTTACACCAAGCATAGAAATAAATGCCATTAATAAATACAGAAAGCAAAGTGATAGAAAGGCTTCAGAAGCAGTAAGAAATGAGAAGCTGCGGTGAATGTGTTCAAGTGTGACAGCAGCAGCAGTAAGAAATGAGAAACAACAGTGTCAGCCAATTCCTTTATTGTTTTCATGTAATCCTTTTTATATTGGTTCTTGTATGATCACCAAAGCTAAGCAAGTCAGTACCAAGATGGGTGACCACCTGGGGATACTGTAAGTTTGGATATGTGGGTGGTGTAATGTTTCAGAATTAGAAATTGAAGAGCTGAGTTCAAATTCCAGTCAAGTTCCTTACGTTCACTTACACACAAATACCCTTGGGAAAGGTATAAATCCACCTCTTTCCCTCCCTTCTGACTATAGGTAATTAGTAATATTTGTATCAGTAAATCATTATCTCAAAAAATTCAAACAAACTAAAAAATATTTTCTAGCTTTAAATAACCTGCAGTAGGTTGATAAATCATAAAAAAGCAAACTGAATCTCACTCAAAAAATGTTTCTTAATGGAAATGTCATCCAGTGAAGACTACTTATCTTGAACGATAATGCATCTTAAATTGAACTAAATTTGAGAATCGTCTTTTGTTTGTAACTGAAGTTGTAGTGATGGTCAGGAAGAGTTGTAGGAGTTTAAATTTCCAACATAGCAGACAAGAAATCCAGTTTATGAAGGAATTTCAAATTTGCATTGCTTGATTTACACTTTTTAAATACCTGACATCATTTACTAAGGATCTGTAATCAAACATACCAGAGTGTCCTGCAAAGCATCTTACTGCACAAAAAATGTATCACTGAAAAAAAATTAACAAAATAATAATATAATTTTTTTAATGAAACTTACTGTTTGTTTTTATCTGAAATGAAAATGGAATAAAAACATTTCACAATCTGATTTTTTTTAGTTGACTTATAAAAAAGAGAAAAAATTAAACCCTCTCCCTCCATTTCTGAATCTGATAAATCCATTGAAACAAAAAGTAATTTATTGAAAAATACAGAAAATATAAAACATTATATTTACTATTATGAAATTTTCCCTTAAAAATTTTGGAATTAAACTAGAATCCCAATATATGTATATACAAAATTTATTAAATTTAATATAAAAATAAATTTTTAATAAATTTTTAAGAAAATTTTATTTTTAATACAAATTAATTTCCTTTAAAATTTTATTCCAAAATCTGAAATAATCTGAAAACCAATTTTACTGAATTTTGAATTTTGCTTTAAAGGAATAGAATCTGTAATAATTTTTATAAAATTAATGTTTTAAATTATTTATTAAACTAAATTTATATTTATAAAATTTTTTAAAAGACTAATATTTTACTGAATTTTGTTTATATCCCTAGAATAAAATAAAATTTGAAACTAATAAACTTAATTTAATTTTAAATCTTAATAAAATTAGGCTTATGGCCGTATCACATTGAAACACCATTTCTCATATGATCACCAAACTTAAGCAATGTCAAGCTTGGTCAGTAACTATTTGGGTGACTGCTTGAGAATGCCAGGTGCTGTAAGCTTCATTGCTCAGAATTGCAAATCAGAGAGCAAAGTTCCATTTCCAGTTGGGTACTTTATATTCATTTATTCACAAATACAATTAGGAAAAGTTTAAATCCACCCCTTCTCCCTCCAGATATGGGTTAATTAGTAGGACTTGTATCAGTAAATCATTATCTCTGAATCTAAAAATATTATCTACAATCTAAAAATACTTCCTGGCTTTAACATTGATTCATTTTCAACTGCTTATCAACCCTTTGAAAGTTATTTAAAGTCAGTAAATATTTTTAGATTGTAAGAATTTGTTTTGGAGATAATGGTTTAGTGATACAAGTTTTATTAATTAACCCATAGCTGGGGGAGAAGAGGTGGATTCATACCTTTCCCAAGGGTTATAGCCATATCACATTGAAACACCATTTCTCATATGATCACTGAATTTAAGCAACGTCAAGCCCAGTCAGTACCGAGATCGGTGACTGCTTGGGAATACCAGGTGCTGTAAGCTTGGATGTGCAGGTGGTGCAATGGATAATGGCTCAGAATTGGAAATCACAGAGCCATGTTTTGTCCTTCTTTCATTCTAACCTGAAGAAACCAGAGAGAGCAGATGCTCCTGGTGAAACATGTTGTTTATAGCTTTTCCAAGTTGTCTCATTGTATTCACTATTGTTTTGGATACTATTATACATCTGACAAACCCACATACACAAGAATATATGTATTGTTTTTCTTTTAGCAACCAAATGATTACTTAATTTTCATTTCTTTTCAGATTTAGCCCATTGGAATTAATAATGCTAGCCAAGCTAAGCTTTGAAAAAAAAAGAAATTTATCCTAAAGTTTCCCTGGAAGTTTGAAAATATAGTTGAAGTGCAAAGACAGTTTAGGTGAGAGTTTCAAATAGATTCACTTCCATGACTTACCATCATTCAAATTAGAGATAAGCTTAAAGCAGATGGAAATGTTCAAAATATCCACAAAATCTGTTCAGGAAGATCATGGGCATTGATGAGCCCCACAAAACAAGAAAGGGTTCTAGAAATTTATTTCCAGAATTTCAGAAAATCTGTGTGGCAGGAAAGTTGTGTGATAAGAAATTTCGCAATCAAGCATCCACTGCCTTCATGAGGATTTTGAGGATGAAGAGGTTTATTTTCAGTCAGAGAGGTTACTTCAACACTACCACTGTCATGTAAGAGCCTGCCTTGATGAGACTTTGCCAAACAGATAGATTGAAAGAAAGAGATTCACTAGAATACCTTGCTTTTTTTTACCAGACCCCACACCATTAGCCTTTTATTGTGGGGATACTTAAAAGATAAAGTTTACAGTACAAAAATAGCAAATGTTTACAAACTGAGAGCAGCCATTGAACACAAATGCAGATAATTTTTCTTTTTAATCATTTCACCCCAAGCAAGACACTAAAACCACTAAGATGCAAGAGGTTACTGAGTATTAGAGAATATGAGAAAAATATACTATTAAGGAGAGAAGACAATAAAAGAACAACAATTAAGACAGAAGATAACTATTGACATTGCATGTAAATTTTTGAACATCAAAGTTGACTGGGAAGCAGAAAGCCAAAAGAGAGTTTCAAAAGTAAGAAGTTCAATAGAAGAAATTGTTAGCATAAAATTTACAGTTACATCTAACTATTTCAACCGTAAAATGATGAGACCTTGCTGCCAATCTAGTACTGCTCTTAAATTCATAGAGTCTATGTACCACAAACAAAAGTTCATCAGAACAATTACCATAACAGTGTTTATAGAAACAGCATGGTGAAGCTACATTATGGAAGTGGGAAAGTGACTGAAGCCAAGATGCTAGGTAAGAACCAATGACATTGCAGATTCTTCTTTGGATTTTATCAAAAATCTCTAAATATATAGCAGGAGTACCAGACCAGATGTGACATCAATATTCAAAGCAAGGACAAATGGTAGACTTATAAATATGTAAGATAAATTCTGTTGAGGAAAATTGTCTAGTTCAACACAATGAACCAACTTTCTTAGCTGCAGACATAGCAATTGATTCAATATACTCTTTCCACTTCATAATCAATGGAAAATGTTAGTCCAAGAATACTGGATAAAATGTTTCTTCATGTTTATGATTCCATTGCTTCACATTTTCAGCAGCATCTGTACCAAAATGGTCATTGCCAGGAAAAAAATAAAATCCTGTTTGTAGATTCTATTAAATTTTGAAAATTAAATCTATTTTAACAAACACTGATTTTATAATCATTCAAAGTACCATAAATGCTCAATTTAGCAGCTGGAGTGGTTATTTTAAAGAAAGCCTATTTTGATTAAATTAACATTTTTACCATTGTTAAGGACACAGTTTTTTTTCATGAAATAAGTCTTGAAAATCTGCCATGCATCCTTAAGGATGAAAGTTAGGTGTTTTCATAGGCCTATACTAACCCCAGAGGAAGGTTATCTATGTTATAATTCATGATGTTATTAAAGTTTTTGAAACTTATTTCACAAAACAAAACTGTGACCTTGATACCAGCAAATCTTGTCTTTCAGATCAAAATAAGAGCTAATTCGAATCTCAAATATATTCATTTAGTTACCCCAGAGCGCTTATTCGAGAGAGGTGCTTATTTTAAATTCTTTGGAGAAAAATAGGGCAGTTATTCGAGAGGAAACAATAAATTGAGCATTTACGGTATGTGTTCATTTTTTGAGACACACTGTTAATATTAAACTTATTTGGTAACAAACCAAATTATTTTTAACATTTTCCAATGGTATATTTAAAATGTGATACAGTAATTGAAGAAAATAATTTGATTCAGGAAATAAATTCTCTCCAATTATTTCTGATGTTAATATATCAGGGAAGAATTGTTTTCATTGTATATGCCTTAATATGACAGCAAAAGATACAGCATAAATTGAAAACTTACTACAATCCAGCGACCACCCCCGACCAGTATTTTAAAAATAATTTTCTATTTGTTTGTGTGTGTGTAAACATGCTGATTTTTTGTTAATACAGGTGTCCATACATGACATTGTCCATAAATAAGAGGGGTAACTATAGTAAATTTAAAGCCAAAGTACCTAAAATTTAATATAAGATTATGGTGTAGTTAAAATATTATATAAAAAAGCACACAGGTTATATTTATGATCAAATACAATAAAATTTATTGTCTGATGTATTGCAAGTGCTTTGAACAGATTGCATGGTTCTTTGAGGTTCTAACAGGCATCAACTGCCCTTTCCTCATCATGCAGAGCTTGATGTCCTTGTGCCCTACATGCCTGATAGTGAACTCTGCTACCTTGAGCTCTTGGCAATAGTCTTCATCGATTTCCAGCGGGGGTCATTGATGATGATGTCCTGGACCTGCTGGACAAACTCCTCTATCCCTATGTCATCTGAGTGCTTAGATTGTGTTTCTTTTTTGGGCAGATATGACCCTTTACTCATTCCTGACATTGAGCACAAAGGTCCTGGCCACTTTCAAGAAGCTGCCTATCTCCGAGTCGCTATGTTTGGCAGTTGATGCTATGAGCATGGCATGACTCTTCATTTCTTGTGTCAGATTGGAAGCTGCCATGTTAAAGGTCTTGATATGTCTGAAAGAGAAATGAGAATAGTAAAATTTGGTGCATGCACCGAGGTAGTAGATTGTTTTCCTTTTATGGCCTGTTAAAAAACGTGTTCTCAAACACCTGGCCCTCCTTAGATAGTTTAATGCATCTAGATCTACTGTAATTTTGAGGAAGACTTAAATTACTTGGGCCACTCATTAAAAAAAACAAAGAATTATTTTTAACAATTTTAGCATTTATTAGATTACTCCGCAGCATATGTCATCCCTCTCTCTCTCAGCTATACCGATAAAACCCAAAGGAATACACAGCATTACATTTGGGGCCAACTTGGGTGCAGGAGTTGCAGAAAAGTTGTCAGTGTTGACAATCAACTGCCTTCAGGGCTTCACTCTGGGTTTTCTGTCAAGATTTACTTCCATAGCCTTTTCTATGTTTGGATATGACCACAAAGTAGTGGAGGTTTTAAATCAGGGGGGTTTCCTTCCTCTAGATGGACTGCCTTCCTGGGCTGTCAAGCTCTGTCTACTTAAAGCAACTGGTAATAAGGCACCAGATGCCCGCCTTTGCTCATTCGCTGGAGCTGGACTTAGTTGACAGAGGTATTTGAGACATATGTCAGAGAAGCATTTTATAGAGAGTGGGAGCTTTTCCCCACTATCACCCCCGGCTATGACAATCTTTGAAACATGTATAATATACATATATAAACATTATGCATATCCTATATAGAATATATATAGAAACAGTCATATTATCCTCAATAGGATGATGTACAAATAATAAAGGGCAGTGATGGTGGAGTGGTGAGAATTGGTTGATTTGTTTTTGATAGTTTATCAACCCTTTGTGGGTTATTTAAAGCTAAAATATATTTTGGATTGCAAGAATAATTCTTTTGAGAATAACAATGATTTTTCCAGATACAAGTTCTACTATTTAACCCAAAGCTGGGGGATGGATTCATACCTTCCCCAAGGATAAATGAATGTAACAAAGTTAGCCAGATTTCAAATCCAACTCTCCAATTTCAGAGTTGGAGAAAACTGAAACAATTATCATATACGAAATCTAATCAAAAAGTATCAGGACTACTGCTATGAAATTGTAAAAAGGCAGAATGTATGGTTGTCAGCACAAAGAAAAAAAAAACAAGATGCAAACTATGAATTTGAGATGTCAAAATCAAACAACTTTAGAAATTTAAATATCTGGGAAGTATTTTAACAAAAGATAGAAAATTTAACAACAAAATCCAAATGTACATTGGACTAGCAAAAGATGCTTTCACAAAGCTAAGCAAAGTACTAAGAAACAGGAAAGTTATGTTAGAAACAAACAAAGAGTACTGAACTGCTATATAACCAATAAAAGCAGGACAATTTACTCACAAATGAAAAAAGAGTGGAAGTAACAGAAATGTTGTTTTAAAGAAGGGTGCTAAGGATACCAAGAACAGAGCTCAGCTTAAGGAAACAAAAAGGACACTTAGAATCAGAAAGAGCTGAAATTTCTTGGACATAATGAGGCTTGAAGAATTTGACACTCACAGGACATAACAAGTGCAAAAGGACGTGGAGGCAGCAGGATACCTTACCTGAGCAGCTTATGCGAATGGATAGCAGAATGGAGGCGAGGTGACAAAATGACAGACAAACTTTACTAAGAGCTCCAAAGAATAAGAAGTTGTGGAGATCTTTGATTGTCCATATCCTTAAGGGAGATATACAAGAAGAATGAAAGGATCAATTCTAAATTCATAAAATTATAATTTAAATTAAAATATTTTTTAAGATAGAACAGCTATTAAGAAAAAATAGAAGAGAAATTATATTTAAAATCTAATATAATAATTCAAGAAATTAATTAGATATTTATTCTATTTTCCATCAGAATATGGATGATCTTGGCTCTC